GTTATACGATGAACATTTTTCTAGTTTTTTTATTTGTATTTTTACTTAATTGTATTTTTTACTTCTGTAACATTTTATGTAATAGAGTTTATCATCTTTCTTATTGCTTCAAACTTTGATTCCAAGTTAGTTAGCAAAGCTTCTCTATTCCCAAGTAACAGAAGAATTTACCCATATGTTTTTCTTTACTGTTTTTTTTTTTTTTCATTTAAATGTCTGGCCCATTTGGAACTTATGTTGGTGCCTGGCATTTGTAATGAGCATAATTATCTTTTTTTCACATTACTCTGCCATTCTCTCAACAACGTGTAAAGGTTTATCTTTTGCCCAGTGATGTGATATGCTGCCTTTATCATAGCCTAAATTTCCATATAAAATTGGGTCTATTCATGTGTCAGCATCAAATTGTTTTAACTATAGAGGTTTTAGAGTATGTTATGTCTGGTAGGGCTGGCCGCTCTTTCCTCCCCTCACCCCACCTTGTTGTTAGTTCTTTTTTGCTTTGTTTTCCAGGATTTTCCTAGCTATTCTTTCATACTTTTTCTCGATAAACTTGTCATTTCAAGTCAATTTGTATATCAAATATCAGAGCTTTTCTTTTGGCTTTCTACTGCTTTTTCCTTGCTAAGTGGACGTTTTTAATTGGAACATTTTCAGTGGCCTACAAAAGATAAATTTTCTCCTGAGCCAATGGAATGGATATAATGTCCCACTTAAGCCAATGGGAGAGGCAGCCTTCTATTAGGCTCGCTCTCTTTAGGGAGGGAAGGGTTCAGGTTACTTGCACCCCCTTGTTTCTCCTGAGCTAATAATCAGCAAGTTCCCCACCTGTGCTACTGTCTTTGCATATTTAGTCAGATGTTTTCATCATCTTCCTATTTCTTTTTGCTTTTATTCAGCCGCTGTAAAACTCGGTATTTTCTTAAAGAGTTTATTCCAGAAATTAGTTGTCATCCTCGAAGCTCCTAAATTATTCCCTGAGGCACTCTATACAATTAATGTTTTCTACTACATCGTTAAAAAGAGGCTTTTGATGGGATCTCATTGTGGCTCTCATCCGTCCAAGGCAGCACAATTGACCCAAGAGAATCAGCCGAGAAACCATCATTATAACAGTAAGTGAGTTCAGTTAGGTCATAAAATTAATATATAAAAACTCAGTCATTTTCATGTAGAGGCAATTAGGAAATATAATGGAACACAAATACCATTACAGAGGCAAAATGAATAAATATAAAATGCCTAGGAATTAACTCAACAAGACCATAGAGCTTACATGAAGAAAAAACACTGCAAAACTCCACAGAAAGGCCTAAATCAACATAGCTTTGAATGTATCCAAGGCCATGTGGTGCTTATAGTTGGGCTAGCCCTACGTAACCCAGATGATCTCAAGTGTCCCAGATATATGGGCTCTGTCTTCTCTTATTATGTGAATAAAATGGCTCTAGGCCACACCTTGTAGAGAGTCAAACAGTTTCTTGAAAATCTCTAAGAACTTCCATAGATGATTAAGGCGCATATGTTCTCCTTGATCAATACAAATTAAACTATTTCTCTGCTCTCCTGTTACTTGATCATTAATTTATTCATTTATTTAATCACCGTGTGTTTATGAGTACTTAACATGTCCTAAGCCAGGGGTGGGCAAACTTTTTGACTCGAGGGCCACAGTGGGTTCTTAAACTGGACCGGAGGGCCGGAACAAAAGCATGGATGGCCTTAGATGTCTACTAACCACTGCTTGGGCTCCAGTGGCTTTTACCTCTGTTCCTGGTCACTCTTGTCTTGGGCCATGGTGTCTTTTCTTTCATGCCCAGCTGAGCACCACCAATACAGGGCTATTTTGTATAAGACTTTTGCTGATGTTTTAAGGGTGCTAGTGGTAAATAAGCATTGTGGGGGAGAAGGAAGACAGATAGAGTACATAAATACAAAAAGCATAAAAAAGATGCAATGAAAAATTAACTATTATATATCTTAAAGTTTGTGGGTCATTTCCTGTGGAGAATTTCTCACTTTATCCTTTATTCTTAGCTCCCACCTGCTGCTGTTTTCTAGAATTGCCTTTTTTTCTGTCTCTTAACATCTTTTATCATCTCAGCCTCTCTGATTTCTGAATCACTTAACCCCTCCTTCATAACCCTTGGGAACTCAAACCTCCTGTTATTTTATAATGGAGAGGAGCTTAACTATCTCTTTCTCTCCTCTTGCTCATCCAGATGACACCAGGGGCTCAGGGAACTTCGATTTTCCTAAGCAAAGAAGTCATTGAACTATACTAACCCCTCCCCTCCAAAATAATAGCACTTCTCACCTCTGAGAAGAATTCTCATCTCTGGAGCAACAGTCTAAAATATCATTTCTTTTTCTCTTCACCACACTCCAATTTTGAAGAGATCAGCTCTCAAAGTAATAAAGCAAGTAGAAGATAATTCCAACTACAATCGCAATGATTATTTTTCTGGAATGTAATAAAATGATTTGGAAATTAATTTGGGGGATAAATAAGCTCAAAGAACTAGGAAAATCTTAAAAAGAAGAGTAAAAATGAAGGACTAATTCTATCAAGAGTAATTTAAACACTTATTGTTAGGGTGGAAGAATGATCAAACAAAGAAGTAAAACCTGATACAAAGTCCAGAAACAGATCTAAAAGAAGTAAAAACAACTCCAAAAGAAAGTACAGGCAACTATTTATGTAATCCTGGACTAAAACTTTCTAACCATAGTAGTGTGTGTGTGTGTGTGTGTGTGTGTGTGTGTGTGTGTGTTTCTTAAAATAAATAAGGAAAAAATAGCATGCTTTATAACATGAATGAACTTTGAAAACATTATGCTAAGTGAAAGAGCCAGACACAAAAGACCATGTATTACATGATTCAATTTATATGAAATGTGCAGAATAGGCAAATCCATAGTAGATTAGTGGTTGCCAGGGATTGGGGCAGGAGATGCCTGCTAATGAACATGGGAGTTTCTTTTTAGAGTGATAAAAATTTTCTGGAATTAGGGACTGGTGATAGTTGCTCAACTTTTGAATACACTGACAACTACTGAATTGTATACTTTAAAGGAGAAACAATATATCAATTCAAAATCTTAAAAATAAATCAATTCTACTTGGGGTACCATGAGCAAAAAATCCTAGCATGCCAGTAGAGAATGGTTAACGACTGTGTTAAAGAAAAAAGTACTTAAGGACACTATTAAAGTTGTAAGGCAGACTTTATTCTGGATCATTGAAATAGGCTTAGGGACCACCGCAATGGGATTTTACAGTGAGGATGAGAGATTGGGCTCAAACCCTAATACATGTGGGCAAGTGAGAATTTAGGAAGGAACAGGGGTCAGGATCCTTGGATAGAAAATACTAAGATAAAACATCAAGGCGTTCTGGCTAACCTGATCTGTCAGGATGAGGGACCAGATCATATATTGAGGATGATTAGATATTGATGGGGGTGGGCGGGCAGTTAAACTGACTTAGCAGGGTTCTTGCTAAAACTAGGTTTGACAAGAAAGTGCATGGAAGGGACTATGAAGAAGGTTCAGGAGGAACCTGACTAAAGCATCTTTGTCAAATGTGAATTAAAATAATTTTTAAAGACAAATGACTAATTCTATATAATAAAAAGCTAATATGCAAATCGACCAAACAGTGGAATGACCAGGCACTATGATGCGCACTGACCACCAGGGGGCAGATGCTCAATGCAGAAACTGCCCCCTGATGGTCAGTGCGCTCCCACATGGGGAGCACTGCTCAGCCAGAAGCCAGACTTATGGCTGGTGAGTGCAGCAGCGGTGGTGGGAGCCTCTTCCACCTCCGCGGTAGCACTAAGAATGTTCGACTGACAGCTTCCTGGACTGCAGGCTGGGCTGAGGAACACCCCCACCCCCACCCCCGTGCATGAATTTCATCACTGGGTCTCTAGTAAATACATAAAATGCAAACTAAAGTAATGCGATGGAACATTTCCCTGTTTCCTTGGCAAAGATGGAAAGAAGTTATAAATTTTTCTTATTGGGTAGGTTGTAGTCTAATGGATATCCTGATACTGGTATTGATGAAGGTCAATTTGACAAAATATTTCAAAAGCTGTAAGTTGTATCCTTGTGATTTCATTTCTAGGAATTTACTTAAAGTAATGCTGTGTGCCATTTAAAATAAAGCAGTAAGTAATAGTTACAACACAGAGAGTGAAATTTAGAATGTATAATATGTAAATGAAACTGACCAATAGAAGGGCACAGGAAAGGCTGGAGAGATAGGTCATTTGTATGTTCTTGTATCTTCTTACCTATATTTTCTGTTTAGCTATATTTTCCAAATGTTCTATATTACAGGTATCTTTTATAACAAAATAACAGAAAAGTATTTAATATATAATTTCAACCCAAAGATTTTTGGGTTGTTTGTTTGGTGAGCACCATAGTGGAAATGAGATTAGAAATTTCTTGTTTCTCCTAGCCTGTGTGGCTCAATGGTTGAGCACCAACCTATAAACAAGGAGGTCACCGTTCAATTCCAGGGCAGGGCACACGCCTGGGTTGCAGTTGTGTGCTCAGTCCCTAGTAAGGGGTGTGCAGGAAGCAGCCAATCACTAATTCTCTCAACATTGATGTTTCTATTGCTCTCTACCTCTCACTTCCTCTCTAAAATCAATAATAAAAAAAAATTTTTTTTCTCTTGTTTCAGGAGATTCAGGGGAGATTAATTGGAAGCCTCAAAAGTTCCAAAGTCTGATTCTTACTCTCTAGTTACCCATATAATTTTCCTTCAGTGGTGTGTATAGTTTTAGTATTTGACCAGTTGGCTAACTGGGAGTTTTATAACATACGCTGTTTTCAATTGAACTATGGTGTACGCAGTCCGAAAATGTTTCCTCTTCAGAGGCAGGTGTTTTACTGGTGGCCTTTACCACTAGGATCATGTGAAGTGGAGTTCTTTCTGATTATTGACTTGATATCACAGTTTTCTTCTCCCAATTTCCCAGACAGAATCATGAATAAACTGGAGGACAAGAAGGACCAGATGATACCATGAAGAGAAGTTTACAGGCCCTCTATTGCCAACTGTTAAGTGAGTTGATGTCGCCTTTCTTCTTTCCTAGAATATAAAAATGTTATCGTTTGTCCAGTGCCAGAAACTTACACACATTCTGGAGGAAGGCCAGGGTTTGGTCAATGAGAGAGGACAGTAAATTTTCCTTCTGCTTCATCTAAGTTATTCTGTTGCCTTGGGTATCCATTGTAATGTAGACTCTGTCACAATAATTCTAAATTAACATGTTCAGCACAGTTAATTCAAGAGTGAATGTCAAAAACACTATTGCTCTTGTTTTTGTGGCAGAATAAAGGGTGTTCCAGTGTGACTCTCTGTAAGTTTCCCATGGAGAGGAAATGGTAGGCTGTGTTTTATGGACTTTGTTACTTGGCACCCCTTACCATTCAGTATCTGCACAGCCTTTGGCTTGGAATGTTTTCCATAGTTATACATGTTCTTAAATAATGAGTGTTGAAAATGTAATTTAAGTTTGGTGACAGAGTGAAAAGTATTCAATTATGACTTTCTGCATGTTGCTCATGTGTTTTGTGGGTTGTGCTGCAAAGTGCCAGGTGCTACTTAATGCCTGTATAGCCTTTGAGATAGGAATTGTTAACAAATGAATATAAAAACCAATACCAGTTGGTGGGTTTGATGTTCAGACTGACCCACTCCGAGTCAAACAAAAGCCATTGAGTTGGGAAAATCTGGAATTCATTGTGTTTGTCTGGTTCTTGCCAAGGTAGATAGAGGGCCTATCTCTCTTAGGCTGAGTGGCTCCTTAACTTTTGCCAACAAAATAGCATGAAAAGAGATTGAGATGCAAATTATCAGTCAGCCCTTAGAATTTAGCAATTCAGGTTATGTTGCACCCCAGTTCAAAGCACTTTATCTACAGACAGCATTCTGGATGGTATTTTAGTCAACTCATTTCTGCTGCTGAATTATAATCCCTGAAACACAGATCACGTCAACCCGTTTCAGCCTGGTGGAATGTCGCCAAGAGTTATAGGGACTCTTAAGTCCTTTCTTCATGTATCCATAGGACTGTGGGTTTATTGTTGCTTCTTTTTAATTTTAATGATAAGCTTTCTTGTTAAAGAAAAGGCTTTAAATATTGAAGAAGCAATGTCATCAAGGAATGATTAATTCTGCCTTGCTGGGAGAGGGGACATCTGAAGGATAAATAAGCTCACACACAAACAGACACACACACACACACACACACACACACACACACACACACACACACACACACACACCCTCAAGAAGGAGAGACAGGCTTTGCAGGCAGAAGAACCAGAAAATGAAAAAGAGTATAGACAATTTGGGAGGCGGCAAAATATTTTTCACCTATGCTGATTATATGCCCCAAAGTTTTCATAATATTATAAGGTCCAATATTGTTTGAAAGGCATCAGGTGAGTATTCCGTGGTTCAGAGTCAAGTCTTATGCTATCACAAGGCCCTTTCAAAGTGGAGCATATGCAAAACCTGAAGGGGTTTCCTCAAAGATTATCTGGATCGCTGCATAAACCTACTCTGCCTTAACACTTTCCTTGCAAACTCAGCTGACAATGCAAGCAGCCCAAAGTAGGCAGCTTCCTACTGGTTGGGAGGAAGGTAGATAGTGGCCTTCAATAAACTGCTCTGATTAGTAGGTAGCTGGTTGTGGGCTAGAGCCCAGCTTTGTACAGAGCTGGGAGGGTGGAGCACTCAGGCAATAGATTCAATTAGCCTGACTTCAGAGCATGATTTTCACAAGTTCATTGAGATGAAGTACTGTTATTGTAGCATTTTTTTTTCTCATGAGAGGAATTGGATATTTAGAAAAATATTTGCCATGCATGCATACACATACACACATAATAGCTCATATATATCATTGGTCAACCAATTAATAAGTTTGCCTAGATTAACAGTGTCCACAAACAAAATGTTTTTCAGTGTCTAAAATAGACTTGAGAACTACAGAACCAACATAAATTTAATATGTGACTTAATACAACTCAGCAAAGTGATATTTTTAATTTTGAGTTGGGGAGGGGGGGGGAGACCTGATAAAGAGAGTGTTCTGATTATATTTTGTTGCATAACAAACGACCTCACAACTTTGTAGCTTAAAGCATTAACAGTCATTTATTTTGCTCACGAATGTGCAATTTGGGCAGGGGTTGGCAGAGACTCCAGTGTCTGGGATCTGAGCTGGCATAACCCCAGCAGCTGGAGGCTGGAACAGCTGGGGCTGGCCCAACATTTATTGTTCCCTGAGGCCTTTTCACATGACACAGTGGGGCTTCCTCACAGCACAGTGGCCTCAGGGTGTACAGACTTCCTACATGGCAGCTCGCGGCTGTGAGGCCAGGGCAAAGCCTGCAAGGCTCCTTATGAATTAGGCTTGGAAATCCCAAGACAGTGCTTCAGCCACATCACGTTGGCCAAGGAAGTCACTAAGACCAGCCCTGGTTCAAGGGGTGAGGGATTGGACTCCACCTGTCAACGGGAACATTAGTAAGAATTTGTAGTCATCGTTAGTTTACTGTAGAGAGTGTCTGTTAAAAACAAACAAGCAGTTACTTACTAGTGGACATGAGCCAGTTCATGAGTCATAATCGCCAGAGAATCTGCGCCCTCTTGAGTACCTGCTGTGTTCACAGACATCTGCTGATCAGTTTCCCTGCATCCTCTCATTTATTTTAAAGGTACCTGTTTTAAGATGAAGAAGTGTTACCAATGAGTAGGTTAAGGACTGGTCCATGGTGACCGAGTAGTGAGTGATGGAGCTGAAATTCACAAGTAGGTCTTTCTGACCTCCTTGTTCATGCCTGTCTTTTCTTCCTGCCTGGCACCTCTATCGCACCCCAAAAACCAGCAGTGTGGCCCCTTGCTATCCCTGTGGCTAGACAGGGGTGCTTCTGAGCCATGATTGGTAAAGTGTGCATCATATTTGTTATGTCAGATGATGCTAAGGAAAAAAACACCCAGTCTCTCTAGGTCAATGCATCACAATCAGCAGTCGTTGGGGCTCATGTGGGCCTGATAGGGGTTGAGGGATACAATCTTTGTCAGGCAGGGCCACTGAGGTTTTAATAGTTTACTTTTATTACAACTGACTATCTCTGCCTTTGTGTTATTTCCTGGGCTCCATTCCACAGTGCAGTACTAACTGTTTCATTCTGCCAGCTTTAGCCCTTTGGGAAGGGTTAGCACATTTTACCTCATACCTCAGAACAGCGACAAGCTTGAGGATGAGGGTGGTGATGAGGACCTTCATGGTTGTGTAAGTATTAGTGGATATAAGCCACATAAACAAAGGCTCTTTATGGTCCTCAGTAATTTTTTAGAGTAGAGAGGGGTCATGAGACCAAAATGTTTGAGAACCACTGACCTAAAGATAAAGCCTAAATCCTTAGGTTAAGCATTCATGACTGGTCAATCATCTGGTTCCAGAATAACTTTCATGCCTCATCTCTCACCACTTCTCTCCTTTATGCCCCTACCCCCTAAACACACCCCACTTTACCCAGGGGATGCCCACAGTGTGTCCAGCCACCACAACATTTCATCCCCAGCAAAATATTTAGCTCTGTGTCTGCATATACTTGTTTTCCTGTCTTCCAGCTGCTTGGGTTTAGGGACTCCATTTCATTCATTCCCCTATCTCTAGCCTAATCTAGACTTTGAACTATAGTGGAATTCAATATATGTTTAATGTAATTACCATATTTCATCAAATCTATAATTTCATTCATTGTAAGATACTGTTATTTATGAAACACTGAAAAAGAAAAAAAATGCTGCTTGAACTATAAAACTATCACATACCATCAATTACATCTTACAATGTGGAAACACATATATGGATAAAATAGAGAATTACTAGGGTGGATTATGGCTAACTGGGTTACATAGTCCCTGAGCTCCTGCCACGAAATTCTGCTTTAGGACCAAGTTTCAGCAAACCCATCTGTATTCCCAGCTCCCACCCCAGGAAGGCCCCGTGTTGCAATATCTGAGTAGCTGGGCTGTCACTAACTGCAGTGGGCTCATGTAGTCTGTCGTCACGGTTGGTTTCTCCCAATAAGTGAGGGGAAATTCTCTCTGAGGTTAAGGAGGAAGAGTTGTTATAAATCGTAACTGACATAGTAGTTAGGTCTAAACAAATTGTTGACCTCAGAAATGTAGGTTCTTGCCCTCACTGGTTTTGCTCAGTGGGTAGAGCATTGGCCCACAGACAGTCAAGGGCACGTACCTCGGTGCCAGTCAGGGTGCTTTGCAGGAGGCAACCAGTTGATGTGTGTGTCTCTCCCCCTCTCTTCCACTCTCTCAGAATATCAATGGAGAAAATATCCTCTGGTGAGGATTAACAAAACAAAACAAAAAGAAATGTAGGTTCTTTTAGATGTTACAGGCAATCATAAAGATAGCGCCTCGTGTATGTATATGAAATGAGGGATCTTCACCTCCTCCTCCTCTGCCATGAAGGTGTCTTCCCTTCCCTTGTACACTGCCGGGTCCTAAACTCCATGGAGGAGACCGTGTGGCAGCCACAGTTAAGGGCTTGGATTCTGGATTGAGATTGCTTGGGTTCATATCCTGGCTGACTACTAATTCTTTCCAGATGATGTTCACCCTTTTCCATACAAAGCATACCAATTGAGGGGGCCTCCCTGCCAAGCAGCTGTTGGACCGCCTGTCCACCACCCCCTGCAAATCCATCGCTCCTGGTGCTACTAACAACACTGCTCCTGAGAAAATAAAGGAGCTTTCTGCTCCATTTAGTAGCAGAGAGCAGTTTATCCACCAGCAGTTCTCTCTTGGAACCACCAATGGCTATAATACTGGTAATGACACGTTGGTCTTCTGTCGGATAATGGAAATGGAGGCATCCATTTCATCGACAGTGCAATTTAGTTTTTTAGACTGGATTATACTGATTGGCTTTCATCAGTGTTTCTCAAACCTGCCTGTACACTAGAATTCCCTGGGGGCTTTTAGCAAATCCCCTTGCCTGGCCAGACCCCAACCCAGATCAG